GGAGTTAATTCTTAATATCTGAGTATCATGCCAGTCATTCAGGATGAGAATTTTTCTGTTTGATTTTTGTTTAATGGCCAATATCTTTATCTGTCCCTGGTCACTTTTAGATAAAGTTTTTGTTTGTCAAAATGACAAATTGATGTACAGCAATTTCCACATTTCACTTTCTTATGCCTATACAATTTTCATCATAGCCAAAGAGCATGGTTTCGGCAAAGTTTCTAAGCTGGAGGCTTGCCACCCTGAGTTTCAGAGTAACAATAGTGACTTGCCTCTCCTTTCTGATATAAACAGAGGCGGTTTTCTGGTAAACTCTGATGCACAGGGCGAAGGTTAGCAATACAGTTATTACCCAACTGACTGAATGCTCAGTGGTGACAGAAAATATTTACATGGTGTATGCTTGAAATAATTTGCTGAAAAAAAGGCCCAGTGAACCGGTCAGTGATGCTGAAGTGGACACCTGTGGACAATGGATGTTGTGACAGTGAAATGACCCCTGGTGACATCGTGATGTATCACAACCATCTATATGTCACTGCAGTGTCATGTTACAAACTGATACAATATTGCCATTGCTGTGTTCACACTTAGACCATTTAAGGTGCAATAGGAGTAGGTCTAACTTTAAACTTGGAATAATTAACTGACATCACAACAGATGGTCAACTTAGCTGTGAATTATTTTATTAGTTTGGAAAAACGTGAGCAACTATGGAAAGAAATTAGATTAAGACCCCTTGATAATATGTCACTTATAAGAAGGATTTTGGTCTGAAAAGAATTTTACAAGTGTGGCAAAAAAAGGCAACATTATTTTTCACAAACTGTCTACATGGTATTCAAATCAACATTATAGCCATATTAATGATATAATATCCATAATATAATTACAGTGTAGACAAACATATTGAAGTGTATCTCACTTGTATTTCATTTTTTGCTTTCAGGTCATGGAAGCAAGGAATCAATTACAATGCAAGAGGAAGCCTCCACTACTGGTAAAGATAGCTCCAGACCTCACAGAGCAGGATAAGATAGAAATTGCTGCTGTCCTAGCAAGACCCAATGTAAGTTAGGCATAATAAACTGGAGAGCTCGCAATATAACATTTTTGTTTGGTGTATTTAGTACTGTGGAATAGATTTTTAATTTTCTGGTTCATTTTATTTTATTTTTAATTATTGTTTTCACTTAAAAACATGACATTTGTGTGCAGCAGGGAATACTGTTCTTGGTGCTGAAAAAAAAAAATTTGTTGTGTTAGAGAAGCACATGGTTGTGTTGCCTTGAAGTTCTCAACAGTATAAATGCTGATAATTTAGAGAGCATTGAAGTTATTTTAAGCATGAGCTAAAAGTTTATAAAGAAAGATTTAATGTGTACTAAATGCAGAGTTTCTGAATCTGCATTAAGAATAAAAGCATTATTTAAGATCGCATAAAAGCAACCCTGTGAAGATCTACTAGTAATTTATTCACTTTTCAGAAGTCTGTGGATGGCTTGATAATTTCAAATACAACTGTAAGTCGTCCACCATCTTTACAAAGCAAAAGTAAGGATGAAACAGGTGGTTTGAGTGGAGCACCTCTTAAAGAGCTTTCAACACAGACCTTGAGGGACATGTACAAACTTACTCAAGGTAAAATGATCGAGTTATATTGAATTTATAGGTAATAGCTACAAGAGAGGCTGAAATAAGACTTCACTTGTAGGCCAGGCCTTTTTACAACTTAAGATTTTTAAAACATAAGCATACACATGCATGCAATTACAATGTCTGAACTCATCAGATTGAGGAATTGAAAGGTTAAAACAGTCACCAGCCAAGCAGAAGGCCACCTTTATACACTTTGGAGATCAGCATATTCTTTATGCTAGGTAAATGTATAATATACTTATAATCCAATTGAAATATATTAGGAAAAAGTGCCAAATATCAAAAGATCTGTGATTGACTTAACTTGCATTCAACTAGGCCGTCTTCCAATTATTGGTGTTGGAGGTGTGGCTAGTGGGGAGGATGCTTATGAGAAAATTAAAGCAGGTGCCTCTCTTGTACAACTGTATACAGCTTTGTCTTATGAAGGACCACCAATTGTTGACAGAATAAGAAGAGAACTAGATGAGCTATTAGAGTAAGTGACTTATTCACCTGATTCCTTCTTAGGCTCAGGTTATCTTGCATTTGAAAGTGGGGCCAAATGCTAAAGAAGTTTTTCTTTAGAAATAATTAAAGAATATACAAGTGTCTTTTGGGATATTTGTAACTGATTTTGTGGAAAAAGCATTAAGTCAAACTTAATTTGCTTGTTTAATGTTAGGAATCAATTACTGTAATTTTTTCCATATGAACTGATGATGTCAAGATTTTTTTGATGTACCAATTTTCTTGTTGTTTTCAGAAAAGATGGTTATTCAAGCGTAACAGAAGCAGTGGGTTTTGATCACAGACAAGTCCCAGAAACTTCCAGTAAAAATGGACAATAATGAATAACAAAAAAAGCACATTGTTATTGGTTGATGTGTTGGACACTTGTATTTATTGGGTATTCACGAGTATGGAACTCGAAAGTAAAAGTTGTGATTTATTTGCGAAATATACTAGTCTCAAATGAGCATTACGAGTTACATTTCATACTACCTGCAGTAAAGTGGAAATGAAGGGTCTGCAATTTAATGTATGGAAATTGTTTTCTGGCAGTTTGTCACTGTACAGATGTTATCACTGTTGACTGCATTGTTTCTACGAATGTTTATTCTGTTTTTTTTTTTCCAAGAAAATTTGAAAATAACTTTAATCATAATTATAATAATAATTTATTATGGTATGGTGCACTTTACAGTGACTTTAACCAAACATTTTTGTCATGACATTTAATAAATAGATCAGCTTAAACATGATGCACTTAATCTCTATTTTCAGTTACTGTAATATAGAACTTGCACTCGATTTTAAGATGCATCTCAGACATTTGAAGACCAGTCAACCTCATCAGGAACATTGTCTTTGGCATTTTATTGGTTTCTGTGATGTACCAATACTACCGATATGTCACAGCGCTCCTTGCTCAGCTACTAGTCAAAAAGTTTTGGCTAAATGCAAAGCATTTACTAACAATAATGAACTCTTAAGAACATTTCATGTCAGTCATTGTGATCCTGCTTTATCTTAATAACATTTGCAACAAAAAATATAAACAAATAACAGCATAGATATGGAAAAAAGACCAATTTATTTTCTAGATCATAATTTATGATCATATTGCACTATCACAGTTAACAGTGATATTATTAGTTAACAAAACATTTCTGGTCGAATTACTTTTATGCAAATCAATCCACCATCTTTAAGAGATGAATATACTAGAAAAAATTTATTAGCTCATATGCTCAACACCATGCTGAACTGTTGTCTTAATTTTGTTGAATAACCCTCTCTCAGCTGTCACCTCATTGGTCAGAGACTGGTCATGTGTTGTCCAATAGGATTAACTTGCTGTTCCACCAACATACTTGGTCCATACTTCTAAGTGAACTTGGAAGTATGCAGTTTACACTGTATTTTACCCTTCCAGACTTCTCTAATTGTTTGATTGAGCAAAACTGTTGGGTCTCTTCTGTCACTTTAGACAAGCCATTTTACTTGTTTTCTTTCAGATGCAGTTGAAGTTCACCAGAAAACTGCAGAATAATTCCACCTCACCAATTACATGATTGTATAATAAAAATGCCATTGTACAGTTCCTGTAGTAGTTCCACTGTATAATTGGTGACCACATTCCTCCTTGTTGGCCAATGAGGCTAATAATGTCACATGTAAAAGTTGTTTAAACTTTTAGACCTTTAGCCACAGATTTGGGACTTAGCTTAAGCTGCTAAACCTGAATAGCTGGATGTTTAAAGTTGACTTTGCAATGATGGTCTGAGAGTGTTTTTTAAAAATAATTGGTGAACAACAAATGTACGGCATTTAATGAAACAAAATAAAATTCTATCACCACTGAGGACAATAGGTATCAAAACAATTGCAATTTAGGACCAAACTTACAAAGTGAAAAGTGATTGAAAAAAGAGGCACTAGTATAAGCAGCTTTTTAGATTCTTTCTGAAACGCAACTTAATCGACTAAAATTTTGACCAGTCCTTGCCAAATCTGTCAAACAGCTCCCGACAGTATGTGTCTGATCAGATGTGACCATGGCACCAACTGTACACATCATACAACATATGACGAGTTTTAGCTTCGTCAGTCCCACTCGGGATTGTTGTCTTGGTCATCAAATTCATCGCCTCCTTGCCCGTCCTCTCTGGGAGCATCTACTGGTCTGATATTGTTCAAGAGATCCCTCATGGCCTCCATCAGTGCGCCAATGCCTGCCTGCATGTCAGTTGGAGCAGCAGCCCCACCTACAGCACCGTCTGGGACATCTGGGACTTCCTGCAAAGAAAGTTTTTCAGTTAATTATGGTATCTAAATATTTTCTCACCTTATAATTTGAATTATTGTTTATCTGGAGCAACTTTTGTGGTATCCTTTTTTCTTGGTACCTTAAATTTATGTTAATACATATTGTCTGATACTCATCTTTGCATAACCAAAACATATTTTTCCAGTCACAAAGTGTACAAGCAGTGCAGAGTTTACTGTACATAACCAACTTTTAATGCTATTTCAAAGTGAAATAGATGAGATTTCTTACAAGGGGAGCTAACTTTTCTTTCCAATTCAATACTCGATCTGTCATAGCCACCCTGAGCTTCAGAGATAACTTGACACCTACCTCTTCACTATAGCCTATCTTCATCGTGTCAAGTTACCTCTGACGAAAATAGTTTGACCTAGTTTATATAAGCCAATCGAATCCAAGTTTCAAAATTTTTCACCAAAGTTTGGTGAAAACGCTGATTGGTTGACCGTCAATCGGTAATCCTCGGCTGATTCCGCAAGCTCCATACTATCAACAAAGTTATTGTAGAGTGCGGAGACATCCGAGTAGTTCCGAGTGCAAAACCGTACACAAAGAAAGCATGGCGTCTCCTATGAGTGACTACGTANAGTGAAGAGGTAGGTGTCAAGTTATCTCTGAAGCTCAGGGTGGTCATAGCAGCCATGTCTGATAAATTTCATAAAATTAAAAACTTTTCCCTTTGCTCTTAAGCTTTAAATAATAAAAGGATCACAATCTGACATTCAAACTATGCAAATAAGAGGTGAAATAGACTGAAAAAGCCTAAATGGAAGTTCTGATCAGAACTTTTCATTTCAGTTATTGTATATTTTGATATCTTACTTGTGGGTTAAAGTTGGGCAACATGGACCTGAAGAAAGCTGTCAGTGGATTACTTTCTTGTTGAGCCCTTGTTTGTCTGAAATAAATAAATAAAGAAACAAAATTACTATTGTGTTATTTATCTATATCCACTGTAGGCTTTCAACACTTTTTGCAAAAAGTTGAACAAGGCCCTATGTCAATTATATAGTTTTACATATTATTCATTTGTCTGACTAAAAAGCCATTCCAATCCATGCATTCCATACATAAAAAGCACACACTAACACTTGGAAATTTACCTTGCTGGTGGTCTTTCATATGAAGAAATAGAGTCCTCTGGAGGAAGAGGGTCATAGCTCATCACAGGGGTGTTTGCCAAATGCTGAGAAAAACAGAGACAACTGTGTTAGTTGAGACAGAGCACAACCACCATTATCATCTTTTTGATTAATCAGCAATTGTAGAATTATGCTACTTGGGCGATGTTTAAATTCCCAAAGGTTGACTAAAATCATACTCATATTATATTTTAACACATCAAAATGAATTTCCATATGATTCTCTTTCAATGTTTAAAAAAATTTAACTCACAGGTGGCAGTGCAGCTGTTGCATCCTTTATTTCTGAGATTAGAATATGGCGGAATATGTTTCTGGGAGTCCCGCGATATCTTCCTTGCCTTCTGCAAGAGAGATTTTAAAATATCAAACTAGAGGATCATATTCTAGGATAACATTTAAGGCTAAGTTGAAATCTGAGACACCAAAACTCCTTCAATTAAAAATAAAAAAAAAATAATAATAATAAATTAATAGTTTACTTCTTCCTGTATTCTTCAGCCAGAGGATCACCATCGTCCACTCTCTTGATCACCTCCTTAACATTTTTTTCTAACCACCTGACCACGTCTGGGTCCTTCCAGCATGGGTGACACCTGCCTATGTACAGGGCTATTAGTTGCTTGAGACCTTCTGGCTGGCTGTGGAAGAAGAATATATAAATTATGAGTTGTTTAAGACCTTTTGGCTGACTGTAGAAGAAGGCAAGTTATACAAGTTGCTAGAGAGCTTTCATGTGTATGTAAAATCATGTAGTTTATTATAGAATGGAATGATGCTGTTCTTTGTATAATATATATAATGAAGGGTTATCGGTTACTAAACACATCCTGCTTGATTGTGAAAGACTGAGAATACATATACAGTATATTATTTATAGAAATTTTAAACAATGTCATACACATTTGCTTTTTCAGTCATTTAGATTCCATTTATTTTTCTGGCAATGTTGCCTTTCACAAAGGATAAACTTGTGAAGAAAATATGAACAGTTTATCATAACCCTATACAACAAGTAAAATGTTACACATAACCAAAGCTGATATGTACATCACACATGTTCTATGTAATAAAAGGAATAAAGTGTGTGTGTGTGCGCGCATGTGTGCATGTATGTGTGTGTGTGTTCCAGATAATAGAAGCTCTTGCAATACTCTATTTAAGCCTATTAGACTATAGGAATTTCATCTTCTAGAGACCTCCAGGTGACAATTTCTATAATAAGAGTGAAACACATGTACCAGTATAAAGGTGCACATATCAAGGGAGTAACATTTAATCTGTATGCTGTGGTATACAAGGACAAGCAGAACACTATCAAAGTTGACATCTACACTTTCACACCTCCTCTATCACCACTGCTCATCAATGCACATCCAGTACAACTGTATCTTTTTATCACAAACACAAAAATCATAATACCTTCTTTATAGTAGACACTTATATTGCCATATTTTTTCATCAGTCTCCTTTTTACTAAGAAGGGGGGGGGGGGTGATCACAAGAACAAATTGTGACTTTGGTCGCTAGCCACAAAACATCATAAAACTCTTATGCCAATATATATATATATATATATATATTATTTTCTAAGACATATATTTTCCACTAAAGGATTACTGGAGGAGGTTTGTCCCATTACTACAGAGTGACACTTTTTACATTAATTGAACAAACTTATAAATACTAAACCATAGACAATTTAATAACATAGTCAATATTTTCTCATACCCACGTTACTAAAGGGGAAAGGGGTTCATAAAGTGAAATATATTCTCAGAGTAGAAATTATCAATCTAAAAAGACATGGCATGGAATAAGATCCATGTACTGACAGAAATGCAATCTGCAGATTTGAGGTGGTTCATTATAACAAATCAATACTGCAAGTATGAAATATTTACAAATCAGGGAAACTCACACACTCACATTGGATTAGGACAATACTCAAGTTACATCAATAATGATCACTGAAGGTAAGGATTACCAATGATTTTTTTAATTTGATTTTTATTTCCATATAAAGATAGGTCAGTGTGTGCACAGTACGGTCATCATACATTATAATATAATATATACACACCGTTGTCATTTTGTCAATATCAAGATAATGAAAAATGTTGATGAGCTTATTTGTTTGGCAAACCCATAAACTCAATCAAATATATAATGTCAAAGTTTTTTTTAATTGCTCATTCACTAAGTTGATCAAAGTGGTTACATATTTATGAGGCCCATATGTGAGAATGGAGCACCGAGTCTGTCATAATTTTTCTGAAAATATCTGCATCATTCTCAACAAATTACTTTGTTTTTCAAAATCCAAGGTCAATGTCATTTAATGTAAAAACTTACCATATAAAACATTGTGCACTAGCTCATGTGATGATTCCCCAGTATTTGTAGTGTGAACTATAATTTATGTATTGAAAATTACTGTATACCAGACCCTGAGCTGTTGTCCTATACTTACAACTCCATTATGATCTGGCAAATTGGCCAATTTGCAGCATTATCTAGTTCATGTAATAAATACATGGATATCTACCTAAGCCGTGTTCACATTGAAGAAAGTCCTACCTTTCTCTTTGAACCACATGATTTAGTTAAGATTATCATAGGCAGCAAATGTGAAATTGCTCTGTTCTCTGCATTTAGTTGCAAGCCATTTCCACCAATGGGAAACATTTGATAAAGCCCAAAATCTTTTGACAAGTGGCACAAAATCAAGCATTTTGTGGGATTTGAGGGAGGGTGGGGTCAGAAATAATGGCAGACTAGCCAGTGCAGTGTGGCAATGAATAAAAGCTGACAGAATTTATCCAGCGGTCACATAATATTTTTTAACTACGGTCTATTGCACAACAGTACTGTTTCACTTATGCTTTGGGTCACTTTTATCTTGCACTCTCAGCAGCACATAGAGTTTCATCCCTATTGCTAAAAAGTTAGCCCCACATCATGCAGATTTTCATCGCAATTCTAGTCTTCCATATGACATTGCATAGTGCCAACATTAGTATGTCAGGAAGAATTATTACATTTTCTGCTTATGGTGATCTTCGTGAAAAATCTGGTGGCTAGCACAGACATATAATGTGCCAAGAAAGTCGGTCTATCTTTAATGTAAACACAACTTCAGTGAACATGAAAAATACCTATGATGAACATTCATGGCAAGGCACTGCTAGTTTGATGTTTGCTACTGAGATGTAAAGGTGAGTTGGATAAAAGTTTTCTATAAGACTATTTCAGCTTTTGACTGTTTTCAATTTACTTATTTTCATTCTACTTATTTATTCATTCATTTATTTATTTATTTATTATTATTATTATTTTTTTTTTTGGGGGGGGGGAGGCTGCCTCAAAGTCAGTAGAAATATTGAGTTATGTTATGGTGGCAAAGAGTTGAAAGTTGGCCTTAATTTTAAGAACAAACATTTTCACCTACTTCAACTTAATAGGATAAATTTGTTGTCATGACAACTAAATAAATCAACTGTCAGCTATATAAATTACCAACATAAACCATTTCACACTTTCTCAGAGCAAGTCTAATATTCTTAATTTGTTATGCAAACATCCATTAATTTATGGCCAAAAACTAAATCATTTGTGATTAGTTTATATAATATTTCGCATTAAAATGTCACCAAGAAACAAGCCCAAAAGCTAGTTGGAATATGGTGACTAATGTTTATGGTAGACAAGACCACTCTACATGAATAATTGCTACAAAGTATTTGTCTGTTGGCATCCATGACCCATCCAGATGAATTTAACACAAAGAAATTAATGGGAGTGATTTCCCTGAAGTTACTTGGTCATGTCATTGCATGTGAATAGCAGGAAACATTTTTTGTACCTGGTTTGTAGAGGGTTTTGGTTAAAAAGCACATGATAATAGTTACTGTTACACAGAAAACTGTGCCAAAGTCTTCAAGGTGCATGGCACAGTTTTCCATCTTTTCATTGGGGTAAAAATGGATTGAAGTATTAAATTTAACACTGTCCATTTTAAAAAGGGAAAATCCATTTTATTCCCTTTTAAATGGCCAAAATCACACTTTTAAAGTAGTCAAAAATTGAAAATTACTGTTGAATTAAAAAATTCATGGGGCTTTTTGGGGAAATTTCCTCAAAACTGGGTTTAAAAATCAGTGAAATTGGGACCAATTGATATTTTGGGGAAAATTCCCCAAAACTATGTTCTAAAAACTGGATAATGATGGCCACTCTAATTTTGGGGAATTTTCTCTTTTAGACTGGGAAGCTTTAGTTATGTATTATCAAAGACAGGATAAACAGTCCCCTTTTCAGACAGAAAGGCATTATTTGCTATCTCCTTTGTCTAATGTTGCCTGGGTAACGCCACAGTATCAAGTTTGCTATGTGACATGTTTTGAATAGATTTACATCTCCTTTGGATCACTTGGGATTATTCAGCATGAAGCAGGGTGAATGTGAATGAGTTTTCAATACCCTCTTCTATATGGTGAATGTAAGCCTGTATTTCCAATTGTTGGCAGAACTTTGTAGTATATGACTGTGCTTTATTGGAAAACTTTGTGATTATAGTTTCAATCCATAATAAGCCAATNGTTTCAATTCATAAAAAGCCAATCTAATCCCTCCAGTATAAAAAATGCTTTCTTTGAAATACCAACAGTTATAGTGCTTGTGTATGTCTCATAATATTGGCCATTTCTTTCTCATATTGTTCAAATTGTATATCTATCTCATTTGATCAATTCTTTGATTTCTAATAAATTATTTCATGATGACCTGTCCATGTCCAACAAATGGTCAAAAATAAAGCTCTGTTAAACAATGGTCCACAATCCCTCCCTTTTAGCCTTACATGTACTAGTAGTCCTTTTCTCCAAGACAATAATCAACAGGCTTATACATGGTGATCATTTCAGATGACTTGCATTAAAGATGTTTTTGGTCCTCCAGTCACCTGTAAAATGTGTATCTTATTTCCGGACCATCTCTGAAGGAAACTGTGGGCTTTTAATGGGAAAGAGAACACTGGGTTAATTCATCATGATGAGGCATAATGTACTGGATTACTTTTATAGGGGTAAAATGTGATCTGTCTTGCTGTTATTAATTGCATTGGGAGACTGTGGCAAATTGTACTTATTCCTAGTATAATGGTCAGCACATGTCTGGCTTATATATGCTGGGCTTTTAATAACATTAAATTTGTGGAAAAAAAGCAATGAAATGAGGGAATTTGGGATCCATGCAAAACATTTACGTAATAAAATAATTTCATAATAAATTAAAAGAATTGGAAAAGCTATAAAAATCTAAAACAAAAGAAACTGGATTTACAGACAGTTTTATCTCTGCTCATTTGAGAAGTTTAATAATAAAAATATTCATCTTGAATAGTAATATCATTGTTTCCAGTTCTGCCATACAAACAATTACACTGTTCACTGAAAATAGAGAAAATAAATGTCAAATTTGCATTTAGAATAGAAATATACAAGGTACAGGTCTGATTATTTTAAAATAAAATATTGGTTTTTCTTTGTTAAAAAGGGCCCAATTATAATTAAATTAACATTAAAAACTCCCTTACTATGAGCTTGTTCAAAACGTTACCCTCTGGCTTCAAAATGAACCC